ATGACGGTAAGTTCGAGTGTTAACACTCGAGACTAGGCCGCTGTTTGCTATTAAATATTATGTTGAATGATCATTATGATGAATAATTATTATGGATAATTATGAATGATAAACCTACTGATTAAAATGATTATTGATGATTAAGTCATGATTAAAAATGAATTAATGGTGATTATGAAAATAATGTATATTGTTAAGGATATCTAGAAGAACTCTAAGATATACCCACTTGTATATTGATGATGATTATTAAGGATATCCAGAATAACTCTAAGATATACCTACTTGACCAATTCATATTTCGGGTTAAAACGTACGTACGGGATCCAGAACGGATATCACCCACCCGACAGTTCACTGTTCGGTTGGTACGTAATCCACATGACTCATAGGGTGGATTATCGATTCTTGTGTTCTGCATTAAACTATTTATAGTTTAAGGGCCTGGTTAGAAATGTTGCCTTAGACTTGGAATAGCTAAGAGCTTGTTATAAAACTATGTGGCCTTAGATTAAGAATAATTTAAGAGCATTATTGATATATATTGAATATCAAATGACTTGGAATAAAATATTGAAAATATTTTGAATGTTTGAACCATATATTGTGTGCATGATATCAAATGGTTGATTATGAATTGAAATTCAATTTATGTGGATGTTCGACGTTTTAGATATGCTTACTCAGCTTCACTGCTGAGCGTGTAGTATGTTTTATTTGCTACACGCAGGTAAACAGAAAGATTAATGTGATCCTGGCGGCATATGGGGCGAGATTGTCGGGATGGATGTGACAAGTTTTGAAATGATTTATGATATGTCAATATTAAATCCGCTTCCGCAATATTGTTAAATACTCCGTACTGTATATGTTATGAAAAATATTATTGAGATTAATAAAGTGTGTTTGAAAAGTTTTAAATTTTACGATTACCAAGTTAAATACTTTAGTCCGAATGGGGCTGCAGACCTGGACGGATTAGGGTGTTACACTGGGTAGGTTGTTTGGCCGTAGGGGTGGGGTGGGTGTTTAAGGTTAGGGTTGCAGGTGTAGTAGGCATGGGCGTTTGGATGGGTAGGGTTAGGTGGGTGCGGGCCGAGGAGACCCGAGCCGGGGTTGAGTTGCGGTGAGTTGTTCCAAGGTACGTAGCCATCCTGCGGGTGTCATTGCGAGCCAGAGTTTCTTCCTCGTCCACGTCCACGGCCGCCTCCACCACGACCGTAGTTGCACCCCTGCTGTCCGCGGCCACCACTTCCGCCGTTATGCCCGCTGCCAGGCGCTCCATTGCCACGCCCAAAGCCGCCGCTGCTTGTGCCGTAGGGAGGGCCGCCAGTTCTTCCGGCCAGGAGGGCTGTCCCGGCATCGTCCGCAATGCTTTGCCGTTGACGATCAAGGAGCAGGAGGGCTGATTGGGTCTGAAGAAAGTTGGGCAGCGGTTGTTGGAATTGCAGGAATGACGTCTGAGCCTGGAGATCTTTGGGTAACCCCCGAAGCATTTGGAGCACGAGTTGAGACTCAGAGACTGGGGCGTCGACGTCATCCAACCAATCGGCAATGTTCCGAAGGGTTTGACAGTACGTGGCCATAGTCATCGTACCCTTGATGGTGGTTCGAAACTGGTGCTCGAGTTGCATTGCCCGAGCATGCTTGTTGTCATGAAAAAGTGCATGAATAACCTGCCATAATTCAGCTGCGGTGGAGGTGGTGGAGATGACCAGATCTGAGACTTCGTCAGAAATAGTAGAGAGAATCCACCCTTGGATCAGGGCATCAAGCCGGTACCATTCATCATCGTCGGCAGAGGAGGGAGATGAAGAACCCGAGAGAAAACCGTGGAGAGTGAATCGGCGCACCAGGAGAAGAAAAAGTCGGCTCCACTTTTTGTAATTGGGCTGAGAGAAGCTCAGCTGAATCGGGACATGAAGCTTGACGTTGGAGATTGTGGTGAAATCGAGATGAGGGGGATTGGAGGAGGAGGAGGAGATTGAATTTTCTGTATTTTTGTCGGAGGAATCCATATGGAAGGAGGAGGTGAGGTTTCGCCGACGTGGGGCTGTGCCGTCGCCGAGGACAGTCCGCCGAGAGAGAGGAGGGCGGCGGTGGCTGAGCGGCTGGAGAAGGGCACGCCGAGAGAGAGAGGAAGAGGAGGTAGGGTTAGGGTTTTTGGTTTGAGAATTATGGCTCCGATACCATGTCAAGAATTGTGATTTTCCTTGAATAATAAAGTGGGAGTACATGGGTTTATATATACAACCTTTTCCTAATCCTAATCATGGTAGGATTCTACAATAGGAAACAATATTTGTACAATTAATATAGAGTATATATTTAACATAAATATAGAATATATTTAACACAATAACAAGAACATGAATACAAACAATAATAACAAGAAGATCATAGATCAATGAGACATAAATCATCAGTACTAACAACATCTCCAACAAGCTACTAACAACATCACGACATTCTATTTTTACAATATTACTTATATAGAACAATCCTACAATTACTCAATATTAATTTTTAAACAATTAAATTAACTTTCATAAATATTATACTCAATGACTATTAAATTTATATAAAACTTTTTATTTTTTAGGGTATTATACCAATATGCATTTCACCATTTTATGTTATTAAATTGAAAATAAGGTTATATAAATTTTATTCTTTAATAAAAAACAAAGCTTATATAAATTTTTTAAAGTACTCACATTTTTCCTTTTATTACTTTTCAAAGATAAAGATTTATATAATTGATTATAATTAAATGTGAATCATTCTTTAAAATATATCTTTTATTTAAAAAATGATATCATATCTAATAATTAAAAAAAATTATATAACACATGCCATATCCAGAGTATTTGTTAGAAAATTAAAAAAATATTTTTATCAAAAATTTAAAAAATTTAAAATTAATCTTGAAAAGAGAGGAGTGAAATTAGTGTGGGGTGAGATTATTCTTTTAGTGGGGTGTGACTATCACCACCCAACTGTAAAGGACTCGTGCATATTGTGGAGTAACTTTATCGTCCAAAAGACCCTCCTACTACATGAAGTATCCATCAATTCCAAAAAAAACTACATCCGGTGTCAAAAGTGTTTCTTTTTGATCCCTTATCCTTAATCAATGCCAAATGGGCATACTGTGGAGACCTTAGCATTGCTTATAGCCTAGAGAAAAAAGAAATGAAAATTAATTTAAAGAAAAAAAATAGTTGATGTCCTTTACATAACACACATACACACAAAATTTTATGTGCCTACTAGACCCGATCAAAGTGCGGGCCGGGCCAGGTTTCGGGCCGGGCTGAGACACTACATTACGAAAATTTTAAAGGCCCGAGCCCGGCCCGGCCCATATAACGGGCCTTACAATTGAAGCCCAAGCCCGGCCCGCATGGTTACCCGTAGGCTTCGGGCCGGGCCGGGCCGGCCAACAAAAACTCCTAAATAATTTAAAAATATTTTTTTAAAAAAAAGTAACAAGTTAATATATTAGATATTTGATATAAAAACTATTATGAGTAAATGAAAGAAAAATTGATATATAAATATATTTTGTTTGATATTGCTACTATGTTTGGAGTACAAAATATTATCTATTGGAATGTCATAATCAATGTGTGATACGTTGCAAACAATACGGAGTAGTAAAGATTCATTCATTTTATTATATATATTTATAGTTTATTTTTTCTCTCCCTAGGAGTATGTATGTGTGTTTATAATAATTTAAAATAGGTTTGTTCTTTATTATTATTGTTGTTGTTGTTGTTGTTGTTATTGTTATTTTATTATAATTACATTAAATATAAATATTTAATTTATTCGGGCTGAGCCGGCCCGTGTGCTTGAGCGTAAACCCGAGTCCATCCGTAAAATATTCGGGCCACCATTTATAAGGCACAAGCCCGGCCCGTACCCTAAAATGTCAAACCCAAGCCCACAATTTTGTGGGCGGGCTTTTGCGGGCGGGCCGGATACCCGAGCCCGTGATCGGGTCTAGTGCCTACACATATACTTTGCATAATGTCTTATATTTTAAGATGCTAATAGAAAAAAATATAAAAATCAAAAATTAGAAAAAATAATATATAATGGATCCAATAAACGAATAAACGGTTACCGAAACGGATGTATGTACGGAGCTAATTATAAACGCATAAGATATATAATTACCAAATCTATACTATATTTAAAAAGAGATGAATTTTTGAGTTTGTTTTCCGGCCCATATGTGTATGACCCAAATGGTAAGTGTTAAATGTTGAAATGATAATTTGTCATGTGTTAGTGTTAAAGATTTATGGATGATAATTAAAACATATTACCGTGTAGAATAAAAGTGGTAGTTTGCCAAATGTTCTATTACCGTATATATATAAGATGATTTAATTTAATCAATGAAAATAATGCCAAAAATTATAGTTTTTATTAATAAGGTAATTTCATTATACCTTATTTTTGTTCCAAGAAGACCAATAATAATAATAATAATAAACGTAATAATAATAACAAACATAGCCCATAATTATACCTTATTTTGGTAAGAATTAAGAATATAAAAAATATATATGTGTGAGAATATATATGGTAAGTGTAGAATTTAGAAATGGTAATTTATCTACTTTATTTGTGGTCAATTAACAACGGTTACTTGCACATGTTTATATTGCAATAACAACAACAATAATATTATAATAATAACAATAATAACCACAATAATAAATGTGTATGATGCCATTAAATATGGTGTACCCTAAAATAGACGCAATTAATAAAAAGTTTTTGTTTGTTAAAGGACTAGGTTTGTTCTGATAAAATTATAAATTATAAAAAAAGAGACGTCATTAATTATAGTGTGTCCCAAAATTATACTTATTATTATGAAAGGGCTGACAAAGCTTATTGATACATTTCCGAAAAAAATTCAAAGTATTTTTTAAATAAAAAGTTTCTATTTCTCTAATAAAAAAATTTAGTTTTTATTAAAAAGCTAATTTTATTATACCTTATTTTTGTTGTAAGAATACCAAAAAATACATGTGTATATGGTAATAATAGTAATAATAAACGTAATAATAATAAGAATAATAAAAATAATAATAAATGTGATAATAAGTGTAATAATAATGACAAATGTAGAAGATAATTATACCTTATTTTGATTGGAAGAATATATATATATATATATATATATATATATATATATATATGTATGTATGTATGTATGTATGTATGTATGTATAAGTTTGGGAATATGTATGGTTAGTGCTAAATTTAGAAATGGTAATTTGTCTACTTTTTGGTCAATTAACACCGGTTACTTGCACATGTTTATATGGTAATAATAATAATAATAATAATAATAATAATAATAATAATAATAATAATAATAGTAATAATAATAATAATAGTAAATGTGTATGGTGCCATTAATTATAGTGTAGCCCAAAATAGAGGCCTTAATTAAAAAGTTTCCATTTATTAAAGGACTAAGTTTGTTCCAAAAATTAAAAATTATAAAAAATAGATGCCATTAAATAGAAAAAAAGAACAAAAATTTTCATAATATAAATAGGGTCATTTTCAATCAGTTTTGTCATTTTCAAAAATTTTCATACTATAAATAGGGTCATTTTAAAAAAATTTATGCTTTTTTAATAATGTTCCTTTTTTATGTGGTATATAAAGTTCTCCATTTTATTATAAGTTTGGAAAGAAAATGGTAAAAAAACCATTAAATATGAACAAAATTTGTGGCCGAAATTATGATTTGACTTATTTGTATTTCTAAAACTATACACATATATTTAATATTTAATTACAAAAAGGGTATTATTAGATAATTGGTGATGTGGTTGACATTGAAAATACCAACGAATGATGTTATCTTGGTTGCACTAAGTGTAACAGGAAAGTTGTCCATATGGTTCAAGGTTTAAGTGTAAAAACTATGACATAGATTATCTTGAAGGAGTGTATAGGTTAAATATTGTAATTCAATAATTTTTAATTACTTTGTACCTTAAAATAATAAAATCTATATATTCTATTAGTTATGAATTTGTATCTTTCAAAAATGATCTTAATTTAGTAACGTAAATATGACTCGTTCAATGCACGGATGTGATACTAGTTCATATTCGTTTAACAACTGGATGTCCTTAACCGGGTGCGGGTAATAACTACTTTTAAGGGATGCTGACATTTTCTATGTAAACGAATATTGATGTGGACACTAATCGAATTTTTGGTTATTTATTTACAGCCCTATTTTATTTCTTATCTTCTTAATTAGTTAAAATGTACTTGAAAACTATCTTATCTAAACAAATTCCAACATCGCACTATTCACTAGGGCTGGACATGGTACGCTTCCAGTACGTTCTGATTTCGGAACCGCCATATGTGACCATTACTGGTGCCGGAGGTCCTGGTTCCATACCTGGTTCCAGGCCGGTTCGGCGGTTCTAATTTTTTATATAATTGAGCGATAGAAATGTAAAACAAATTTATAAGTTCTAACTTCTAAGAATGTAGTTGTTATTTAAATAATAAAAATTGAATAGCATAAGTACATTTAATATTCTGACAGTTCAAAAAAATGACGAGGTAAAGAACCGTAAAAACCTCTCGAAGGAGCTTATAAATCGCTCACTTAAAAAATCTAATTACAATTTAAAATAAAAATACAAATTTATTCCTTAGAACTACCACTTCCCTTTGTGGTTGCATCCATGTAATTTTGTGCATGAATGTCGCGCCGTAACCTAACTCTTGAGCTCGACGTCTTGCCAAGAGCCAATATTGGTTGCAAACAAGTGTCTCAAGTGGTTCGGAGCTAAAGCAACTTCGGTAGTCGGTTAGAATATTGCCGCTAGAACTAAACTCTTGTTCCACAACTACAGTTGAAACCGGCATAGACAACACTTGTTTGGCTAGCATTCCGAGTGACGGCAATATGTGTTCATTCCGCTTCTACCATTTGAGGACGTGGAACTCACTATCGTTGTCTTCATCGTAGTCGCATGGGACCCCTTGGTACATCGCAAGTTCGTGGTGTGAACTTACACTTTTACCACATGTACTCATGAAGGCAGAACTACGCTTACCTTCTTTTGCCAAAAGGCCACCGACAATCCGTTTAAAACCTTTATATGTCTTGGGAACCGGAGGAGCTGTTGTTTCTTCTGGTGGAGTTCCATATAAAACTTGAAGTTCTTTTAACAATGACTCAAAAAGATCAATAGTATTATCTCTACATTTTATCCATTCTATTAAATGGTCATAAAAATAATCATTTTCATCTACTTCCTCCGTCCCCCTGTATTTGTCCACATTTGACTTTTGGAACTGTTCATCTAAGCATTTTGACTCATCAAATTCTCTCAATGTGTAAGCCTAAATATAGTCATGTGTGATCTTGTTTGATTTGTCTTAACATAT